GGCTCAGGGCTGGGCGTCGTGTCGGTGTCCGGCTCAGGGCTGGGCGTTGATATCAGCATTGCTATCAAGTGCAGTAACTCTCACCTCACCCATGGAATTTAGCTCTTTTGTCCATGTTTGAACTAAGGCTGTAATGAGGTTAGAAGCTGGATCACCCTGGTGGAGCCCAACTTGATCATTATTGAGCAGTTTGGTGCTAAATAAGTGCTGTTTGATAGCTCTGTTGATGGCACCTTCCATCACTTTACTGATGATTGAGAGTAGACTGATAGGGTGGTAATTGGCCAGGTTAGATTTGTCCTTTTGTGTACTGGACATAACTGGGAGATTTTCCATAATGTCAGGTAGATGCCAATACTGGAGCAGAACTGGAATACGTGTGACAAGTTCTGGAGCATGTCTTCAATACTATTGCTGGAATGTTGCCAGGGCCCATAGCTTTTGTGTCATCCAGTGCCTCCAAATGTCTTGATATCACGTGGAATTAACCAAATTGGCTGACTGTGTAATGCTGGTGACCTCTGGACAATGCAGAGATGGATAATCTACTCATCACTTCTGGCTGAAGATTGTTGCAAATGCTTCAGTCTTATTTTTTGCAGTGATGTGCTTGGCTGCCCGTCATTAAGGATGTGGATGTTTATGGACTCACCTTCTCCTGTGAACAGCATATGTTCAGCAAACTCTTCCCATTTTGTTCACTTTACCAACTGTCTGGTGCTCAATGCCAGGTCAAGATGTGTAGTCACTGCTTGTATTTGTTTTGAAATGCAGAAGAGGGTGGTCCCTCAGCACTGTAAATTTTGCTGAAGGCAGTATCAAGTACCTCAGAATTGATTTTTGATGTTTGCGGTGAAGTTGAATGTGAGGTGAACTGACTTATGCTTGTTGACAGACAGACAAACAATAACAAATCTCTCTGAGCATCTTGTGAAGGATTCAATCGTTATGAATGGAGAGTTTGGCTGCCAAAGCTGTTTCGTGCTAACATAATACCTTTTAGGCATTATCCTGCCAGAAGAACTTTGTGTTTCTTCTTAAGGGATCCACTTTGAGCAAACCTAGTTTTTTTTTCCCTGCAGCACAGCAATGGCTACATTGAGTCTTAAAAGTTCTTTGTCACTCTCAGCTGTCTTTCATGCATCATTAGCCTGCAGAAGGTGAACAATAAATCTTGAATGCATGGTCCTTGGCTTAAAGTTTGCAACAGAAGATTGGTATCTTCATTGTTAAGATTGTCTTACCTGACACATACATTAGCGACACCTGTCGAGAAATGATTCTAAGTTCCAAGTACCCATTGAACAAGCAGGCTGTGGCAGGACACAGTTATTTAACGGAGAACTACCCAATTTGAGGCAGGTGTTAGTTATCCAATATGGTAGATCTCTCCCACTGCCAGAAATAACCCATAAGACCATAAGATGTAGGAGCAGAAGTAGGCCATCTGGTCATTCAAGTCTACACCGCTATTCAATGATGTCATGGCTGATCTGACAGTCATCAACTCCACTTTCCTGATGTTTCTCTGTAAGTCTTCATTCCCTTGCCGATTAAAAATATGGCTATCCCAGCCCTGAATATAATTCGCAACCCAGCCTCTGCAGTCCTCCGTGGTAAAGAATTTTTAATCCGTAAAATAGAAAAGACAACTCAGTGAGCGGAATGGCCCACTTCTGCTCCTATGTCTTATGGCATATGTGCTAAAGGGACTGCCAGTAAATCTGGGATTTATCTTTGTATCAGCTATAGTGTAATTTACGGTTTTCACTGAATACAATATGCCTGTTAATTAATATGTAATTTAGATTGATTTTGGTTTGATTGTTAAAGTGATACTTATTTTAAAAAGTGAAACCTTGTCATTCAATTCTTTTCCATTGCGTTATTTGGTAAGCTTCATGCTTTTAATTTATTATTTTTTTACAAAAATCATAACAAGTTCTATGGGACCTTTTTAATTCACCAGAGCAGACAGATGGGCCTCAGTTGAACAGCTCATCCAAGAAGTGCACCTTCAGCAATGCAGCACTAGAAATGAGCTTTGATTTCTATGCTAAAGCTCTGGAGTGGTATTTGAACCCTAAGCTTTGTGACTCAGGAATGTGAGTGCTAACTGACCCACAGCTGACATGCAAGAGGACAGAGTTGCCTGCAACTTACCAACCACATTGCCTGTGTTTCAAAGACTGAACACCTTTCTTTCCTTAATATAGTCTCTCTGTAAATCAATTTCTGGGTTATGGCCTTAATTATATAAATGTTTCTGAAGTCCAGCTTTATTCCTCATTCAAAAAATAATCGTATATAACCCAGTACAGTAATTTTTTATACCAGAAGAATCTCTTATAACTTCTAGATTTTTGTGTCTTTAACAGAGTACACAATATTACGATAAGAGGTGGTCGTGTGAGCTTTTTATCTTGGTTTGGGTCAGTACTTGTGTACTGTTAACGAGGCACCTATTGCCACCACGTTATTGTGACCTGCTTCATAAGGCAGCAGCACATCTGGGTAGCTGGCAAAAAGTAGATCCTGCGCTCTGTTCTAATGTACTTCAGCATCCGTAAGTAGCATTTTTAGATGTCTGTACTATATCTTGATTGTTTTTCCTTTTTGGTACTAGGAAGTTTCTTTGAAGGAACATTAGTCATGGCATACTTTTTGTAGTAAATGTTACAAATTCTTTGATCAGATGATCAAGACTATTTTGTCATTGTGTACTTCTTATGGCAATGGACTCCAATCTTCACCTTATTTAGCATGATAGACCGTAGGAGTTTTCCAAGTCAGTATGAAAATTCATTTTAACGAAAAGATAAAACAAATTATTACCTTTAAATATGTATCTCTTTGAAATCTAGTGTATGAAATAGAAACAGAAAAGTATGTGTTTCAAGAAAACTGGAAGGATTTTGACTTCGTTAATAATAATAAATACTGGAGGTTATAATGTCAGATTTCTTTTTTAACTCTTAACTCCCTGTGGGCAATTAGGGATGGGCAATAAATGCTGCCTAGCCAGCGACACCCTCGTCCCATGAATGAATGAAGAAAAAAAAAATTGCCCAGAGGGCGGTAATGAGTCAACCACATCGCTGTGGGTCTGGAGTCACATATAGGCCAGACCAGGTACGGATGGCAGTTTCCTTCCCTAAGGACGTTAGTGAACCCCGATGGGTTTTGCCAACAATCGGCAATAGATTCATGATCATTGTTAGACTGTTAATTCCAGATATTTATTGAATCCAAATTCCACCATCTGTCATGGCAGGATTTTAACCCACATCCCTAGAACATTTCCTGGGTCTCTGGATTAACAGTTCAGTGATAAAACAATTGCATCCCCTCGTTTACACAGTCCTTTGGCAGTACTTTGTTTCAGCTCTGTCATCACAAGACTCAAACATACTGATTACCTAATGCCCCTATATATACACCCAGTTCTCACCCAATTATCCTATAATTAACCTATAACCATCAGCTATTCCTTAGTTCCATTTGTTCTCTGGTATCACTGTCAAACCCTACAAGATGATAACAGATACCCTTTTCTAAAATAAATTAATATATATAATAACTAAAAATGAACAAAACTAAGCACAAAATGTCAACAGAGCGTGCACAAGAAGTAAGATCTGCTCCCTCTTAAAATACTTGTGATTTATCCTCCACAACTCTCTGGGTTAGGCAATTCCCAACATTCACCACTCTGAGTGAAGAAATTCCTTTGCATCTCAGTTTTAAATGAGTACCCCCTTACTCTATAACTATGACGTCTAGTTCGAGATTCGCCAGTAGTGGAAACATCTTCTCAACAGCTAACCTATAAAAATTAGAATTTTGTATGTTTCAATAAGATCACCCCTCATTCTTCTAAACTCTGAAGAATAAAGGGGTAACCTGTTGATAAATCAACCCCTTTATTCCAGGAATTAGTCTAATAATAGATACTTGAAAACAGAATGTTCCATTTTTAATTTTATTTTCACTGGTTTGTTCACCTAATAATTTTTCATTATTATACTCAACTCCTAAGATGTTAGAGTCTAGTTTCAAGTAGACCCAACCCAATTTTGACAAGACAGAAGTTACTATGAGGCATCAAACTCTAGAAGCATTGTTGAGACTATATACACGTCTATTTAAATTCCAGTATGTCCCCAAAAAGTTTGAAGTATCAATTGATCTACATTCCCAGATATTTATTGTTAACAAAGCCAAGAAAATCTTCAAAAATGCCTTTCAGCTTAGTGTAAATCTACCTTTATATTTTGTTTCCCTGGTTGTTCTTCAAAATCTTGTGCCTCTAGTCTCATTTTATTTAACCATATTAACCTTGGCATATCCATAGGGCTAGCTGTCCCCTATCTGGCATCTGTGTGCACCCCACATTTTCTCCAGCTTTGTAATTTTTACTGTTTGGCATCTTTTGTTAACTTGTCATCCACTAAGACTTGCTGATTATATGGGCTTCTGTTTCTTAAGATATTCCTGGTCAATATTGTATTCTTGATCGTAGAATTGTAAAATCATACAGTACAGAAGAAGCCTTCAGCCCGTTGAGCCTGTACCACCCAAAAATATGCAGTACTGTTCTCACTTGCCGGCACTGGGCCCCTACCCTTGAATGTTATGACACTTCAAGTGCCCATCCAATTACTTTTTAGAGGTTGTGAGGTTTCCTACTTCAACTACCCTCACAGGCTGTGCAGTCTAGAACCCCACCACCCTCTCGATGAAGAGGTTTGTTTTCTCAAATCCCCGTTAAACCTCCTGTCTTTCGCTTTAAAATTATGGTCCCTTGTTTTTGATTCTTTTACTGTGAGGAACTGTTCCTTTCTATTCACCCCGTATGTCCCATCATAATCTTATACACCTCTATCGGGTCTGCCCCTCAAACATCTCCGTTCCAAAGAAAACACAGTACTCCAGCTGGTCTAGTCAAACTTCTCTACAGCTCCAACGTGACCGTGGGGCGGTACAGTGGCTCAGTGATTAGCACTGCTGCCTCACAGAGCCAGGGAACTGGGTTTAATTCCAGCCTCAGGCAACTGTCTGTGTGGAGTTTGCACATTCGCCCCACGTCTGCATGGGTTTCCTCCCAACAGTCCAAAGATGTGCAGGTCAGGTGGATTGCCCATAGTTTCTAGGGATATGCAGACTAGGTGGGTTAGTCATGGGAAAGTTAGGGATACAGGGATAGGGTGGGTCTGGTGGGATACTGTTTGGATGGTCAGTATGGGCTTGATGGACTGAATGATTGTGTGACCTCCCTGCTCTTATAATCTATGACACAGCTGATAAAGGCAAGCGTCCCGTCTGCTATTAACCTGTTCTGCTGCCTTCAAGGATCTGTCGACAAGTACCCCAAGATCCCTCTATTCCTCTGAGCTTCCTAGTTTCCTGCCATCCATTGAGTGCCCCTTTGTATTGTTCCGTCTTCCAAAGTGCATCACCTCACACTTCTTAGGGTTAAATGTATATCCTCCTGTATCCTTACACCTTCCTCCTTACTGTGAACTACATGGCCAATGTTTGTGTCATCCACAAACTTATTTAACATCTTGCCCCCTCCACCCTGACCCCCAACCCCCACTAGCATTCTCATCGACGTCATCTACGAATGTCGCAAACAATAAAGGACCCAATACGGACCATTGTGGTATGCCACTGCACATTGGGCTCCAGTCACACAAACAGCCTTCTCCTACCACCCTCTGTCTCCTGTCACTAAGCCAATTTTGGATTCAATTGGCCGAGTTGCATCCTATGAGCTTTTGCCTTCTTTAACAATCTACCGTATGGAATCTTGTTGAAATCCATATAAATTACATACTTCCAAACCTAGAATCCCTCCAGTGCAGAAAGAGGCTGTTCGATTCATCAAATCTGCACTGACCCTCCAAAGATCGTCTCACCCAGTACCCTACCCTATCCCTGTAACCCCACATTTACTATGGCT